TAAACTTTGACTTGAAATACCCTTGAATAATTCAGGAAACAACCCTTCCAATGATGAAAAAGGTAAATGACCTAGCCTAGCATGCCACAAATGTAACCTAGMTATTGACTCCACATTATTCTGACTACTAGCAACAGATGTTTGTAAGGCCGAACTGGTGTCTACATCAAAATAGTAGAGACCTCCATACTCATGACCGCTCCCAATCGTTCTCTTCGTCAATCTGTCCTGAAAGACACTAAGAGATTGGAAGTAAGATTGGGAACATGCAGAACAAATTTAAGACAGAGGTCCTTGCTTAGGTCAACTACCCCTTTCCCAGAGATGGTGGAGAGAGAACCGTCAACAACTCTCATCTTATCTTGACCAGACAATAAGTGATAGGAAGAAAATAAAGAGGACATGTGTCATGTGGTCAGTTGCACAGGAATCAATAATCCAAGAAGTAGAGTCAATAGAACTAGTTGCACTAAAAGCAGAGACAAGAAGAAGCAACTGTTGATGTGTTCTTTGTACTATCACCACTGTGACTAGTAACAAGGTTCCCACTTGCTGCTTGACCCTTCTGGTGCTTCTTGTCTTTCCTCAAGGAATCCAACACGTCTCTTTTACATGCCTTTCACCTCCACAATGAGTGCACTTAAGATGCCTCTTGTTTGAATACTTGTTCCCCTTTTGATTTGAAAAAATCAGGGCTGAATGTTCAACAGGCTGTTTAGTTGGGCTGTATTTGAGTGTCAACTTGCATCTCTTTCCTCCTAACCTCTTCATTCCTTACTAGATARTARACATGRYGTAAATCTGGCATTTCATCCCTTCCCAAAATTTGAGACCATATGCTCTCATACATTGGATCTAAACCAACCAAGAACTTAAAGACTCTACCCTCTTCAATTTGTTTATCATGCCTCTCCTTGTCTTTGGCATTCTCCCAATCAAGAATAAGGTGGTGATCAAGCTCTTCCCAGAGTCCTTCTAGGGTTGCAAAATACGTTGCAACTGTCATATCTCCTTATATCAAGGCAGCAATGTCTTGGTTTAGCCTATAAATTCTGGCATTGTTCTTTCTCTGTCCATAAGTTTTAGACACTTTCTCCCAAATCTTAGCAGTAGTGRAAAAGTGTTGAACAGTCCTGACTACTCTTGGAGTCATTAAAGCAAGCAGCCAGGACATAACAGTAGCATTCTCCTTACGCCAAACTACGTACTCCACACTACCCACTTCAGGTTCCTTCTTCTGCCCATCTAAATAACCGGTGAGTTCCCGGGAAGTAATGAAGAGCATGGTAGAAACAGACCATTCTCTGAAATTGTATTCATCCAACAACACACTAGTGATCTGCAAGCTGTGCAGATTTGGATTCTCTAGATTAGGAGACCTCCCACCAGATCTATTATCCCTAGAAGACACTTCCCCCAATATTAAAGACATCTACTCCCTCTTACAATGATCATGATTGCAAACTCAGTACAAATAATACTGTTCCAGACTTACCGAGGTTGTTACAATCCTGAGAACTCGTATTAGATCTGAAACCAAGAGCAACCCACCGCTGCACTGTGCTGACTTCTGTTATCGTAGACTGTAATCACTGAAAGAATGGTAGGATCCATCTAATGGACGCCAT